GGAGGAGATCTTCATATCGTATCGCCAAGCTTGCCTTCCACGCCAAGGAAAGTCCTATCCGGACACGGGACAAAGTCTTCAATCTTGTATCTTCATAGTCCGGGAGTCCGACCAAAGGTCATAGTCCGGCCATCCGGACACCCCCTAATCCAGGACTCCCTCAATGATGTATAGTGTTTAGGGCGTCATGTAGTACAACAACCCCCCTCCATGATGTACCTACCTTTTAAAAGAAGATTGAGTATGAGATATGACAGGGTTAGCCACCAGACTCGATCTATTCATGAGTACTTTGATAAAATATGAGACATATATTAGTACAAGTGTGATAACAGTTGTATATTTTGATAAGTCGGAAGCATATCTTGAAAATTTTATTTTGATAAGAACACGAGTTTTCCAAAGTCAAACATGTCTATTTTGACCAAGTTTAAGATAAACTATCAACAAAATAAATAAATATAAAACTATACTTCATGATGAAAGTTTAAGATAAGCGGTGAAGTATACCCTTGAACGTGAGGGGCAGCATTGCGGTAATATATATATATATATATATATATATATATATATATATATATATATATATATATATATATATATATATATATATATTTTTACGGGGGTGGTAAAATATTTCATTCCTTTGAGTCCAGATACTCCTACATCCCAAGATTATAACGAGGGAATGATTCTCTACCAACAGTTTTTGAGTAAAAGTGCAATCCCATAATAGGTAGAGAAGGGTTTCTTCTTGTCTTTCATTACCGATGGCATAGTCGTAACCTTGCAAGTGAAAGAAGGTTCCTGGTGTTAATTTTGTCATGTAACAGCAGCCAGAAGAAGATATTTTATCTTTGAGGCACGTTTCCAGAGCTTTTTGAACAACACGTGAGCATCACTTTCACCTCTTAAGACTTTGAAAGACTGTACATCTTCATTGCAGAGTAGCTTGATGAGTTCCATCTTCCAATAGTAGCTTCACTTGTCATTCTGAACCACATTTTCTCTCCACAGAATTGTACGTATTTTGCAGCAGCATGAATTGCTGATGAGCCTGGGCGCAGGGAAAGGCCTATGAACTATTTCTTCCATAACATTGTGGAGAGATGCATGCTCATTTTGTTATTTTAGGTGCGAAGACGCAAATCTTCATCTGTTAGGCATAGCTGAGACTGAGGGGGTTTATTCAGTTAGATTCAGCAAGTACTTTTTCTTTACTGAAAAAGGTTTTCCCCGCTTTGTATTTCAAAGCACCAACACCGAACACAGAGCAAACGTTGTGGCGAGCACCACAACAAGCCAAAAAAAGAAGAAGAAGAAACAATGCCAACACCGGCAGCTCGACAAAGCGCGGATGACCCACTACCGCTGCGCCCTCCGAAATCCACCCACTACGATCCTAGGATCCGATCCTCCGCGTACCAAGCAGCACCTCCAAGAAGGAATGCGACGCCGACGATGCTGCTGCCCGGACATGTCCAAGGGTTTCCCCCGTCACGCGGAGGGTAGAGGGAATGAAGACCACCGACACCCTCCAGGGAGGGATGATGGCACCCGCAGGCGTCACCGCATCGGAGCCGGAAAACCCGGCAAGGATTTCTCCCAACTCCAGACCCACCGCCCAACCGGATCGGAGCCAACCAGCCAGCTCGCCGCCCACCCACGCGCCACCGCGGTCGCAACGCCACCCACGCCGCCTCACTGAGATCACCACCACGAGGCCAAGAGACGAGGAGAGGAGGCGTTGGTCGACGGGAGCAGCAGCGACGTAGCCGCGCGGGAGGGAACTACCTCCTCCACCGTCATGCAGGAGGCTCGTGCCTCCGGCACCATCGCGGTCGCCGTCCGGACGCAGCAGCAGGGCATACCGGGCCACCCCCGGCCCGGCCAGGCCCGAATTGAGCCCGCTAAGTCCCGCCGGCCGCGCTGCAGCAGGGCGGCGCCAGCCCCGCCAGCACCCCAACGCCCATCGCCACTCCCCCGCCTCCTGGAAGCCGCGCCGCCGACCCGCCCCGCCGTCGGCCCGCCCAGACCCAGATGGGGCCTGAAGGGCCCAGATCTGGGCCGAGCGGGTGCCGCCTGGCCACGGCGCCGCGCCACCCCGCCACCAACGGCGACACCGTCGTCCAGTTGATCTCCCGCACCGCGCCAGGAATCCCCGCCACCACGCCGGACCGCCG